GTTTTCCTGCATTTTCAGCTAAACAATGGAATGCACTGCATCAGCTCTATCTCGTTTTTTTTTTTTTTTTTTAGGGAGGTAGCCTATAATACAAGCTATCGTCCGGTACCCACAAATCCATCATACTCCTCTTCATGCCCGAGAACGAGCTGTTGGCGCGAGGGGTGGCTTAAGCGCTCGTTAATTGGCCGGTTTACTCTAGGCTGCAAGATGTCAACCTTGCGCAGAGGTCGGCTCGCGTGTGAAGCTTCCTCTTGCGGATTTTGGAGCTGCCGCAGTGTGGTACGCTCTAGCTAAAGTCTAAATTTCTCACCCTACCATGGATATCTGGGCGTATAGAACATACCCTGCTGTGCCCTTGCATCGTCTCGTGTTGTCTGGGCAGTTTAGCCTCTGATTCGCCCCATAGAGCCGGTGCTGGCTGTGGCGGTCTGTTGCGCCGCAAGCCGCCTAATCCGAGGGGTTTCCACAGGGGGCTGTTTTCCCGTTGGAAGCTTTTTCTCACACTTACTTTTCTTTTTTTCAGTCGTGCAGCACTGCTGTCACACGCTCCCTCTCACAGCACTTACACACGTCTGTGTCGCTAGGGCTGGACAGAAGGATGTCGACGACACCTGCTACCGATCGCAAGGTATATCCTCTGACATGCGTACTAAATAACGAGCAGTGGGAGCTCGACAAGGAAGAAGGACGTTGATTTTTTGTTCGCTCTCCCCTTGGTTGATCGATTATTCGTGTTGTAAGCAAGAGCAAGGGAAAAGGATAAGAGAAGGATTGGACTGAAACGGAGCCGCAACCTGCACACAGCAGTGGTCGGATCCGCTCCACACTCTCCAATCTGGTTACATTACATATGAAGCGTTTTCGCATTGTGTAAATTTGGATGCGCACTGCTCTCTTTCTTGTTCCCTGCGCAATGTGGCACCCCACATCATCTTGCATGAACGCCACCCGACCGCGCGCCAGCCGAAGACGGGAGTGCTAACTATCAACACTTGTAACAGCTCGCAGATAGATAGGTTGCAGATATGTATCTGGAGCATTTGAGCGTACGGTTGCCCACAAGTCTGCACACGACTTCGCGTGTACACCGACATGTTCTTCAACAGGATCCATCTCTCTTCCGATTGTCAAAGTTACTCCGCACCCGAGGTTGCATTTTCCGAAGGATAGGGTTGTAGACATCCTATCCTGTGGTGAGATGCCGTTGACTGTCATTAATTACTGTCATTAAGACCAAGAGCTCTGCCACACTGTAGAGAGAGGAGGCTCGAGGCAGGGAGGATCCCGACTGGAAGTCAATTGGCCCCTCTTCAATTTCTTCGGCTGACGTGATACTGCTGTACACCCCAAATGACTTGGTCGCGATTTGTCCCTTGTCTAGATGAGGGAGCCCCAGAGTTAGAAGTAGCTGGGTTCTAGGGTAAAGAAAGAGGTACGGCCACGTGATGCATTGCCTCCACGATTGTGTAGAAATGGGATGTTGCTTGAACTGATGAGAGAGAGAGGTCTGGTTGAGGTGGGGGTCCACGTCGCACCCCAAGATAGCTGAGTCCTGATTTAGTCCTCACAGGTGTACCTCTTGGCTATCCCACATCCTATCCTAGACCAAGATGTACCCTATCTATGCCCTGCAGCAACCCTTCTTAACACTAGCCTATCCAAGTCTCCCGGAAAATCTCTCAAATATGCCTCACACGGCGTATGTTACACCTGGACTAAACATCAACATACCGTATTCGACACAAGATAACACACCCCCTGGACCGATTTTCAAAGCTCGATTGTACGCCACGAAGGATATGCGTAAACGAAACGATACATTTTCGGAAAGCTCTCGACAAGGCGGCTTCAACGACGCCGTTTTCGGCCCTGTGGCTCTCTCCGCTGTCGAGAAATCGAGCTTTGAAAATCGGTCCAGGGGGTGTCTTATCTTGTGTCGTGTATGTTAGTCGACATTGTCCCCGTGTGGCCTTCCTCCTGTGTGACCGAGGCTGATTCACCCAGCAACTGCTGTACCGAAAGATATGTAAAGCTGAGGACCAGAATAAATGTGAACGCGCATTTTTTCCTTAAAATCAAAATCATACGGTAGACTATGTCAGCGACAACTAGGATTGGCTATGCATTTATATTATCTATCCAGGCATAATATCTTATCTCACTACTTACAGGGGGTATAACTTTGTGACCTGCATACACCACGAAAGGTTGATATTTCCGTGAACGCACCCCAGGACTCACCCACACAGACAGGCAGGGTGTGGCCGTTTGGTAGATGGCATTATTATCATCATGGTAATAAAAGCGTCGCAGCTTGGTCCCAGCGGCGCCTTACCTAACGAACGGCATCTATCTGCTGCTAAGCGCTGCCGTGTATCGGTTCTTCTTCCTTTGGACTCGCCGTATTTCTGTGTGCGTTTCTCCACCGGCAAGCCGGGGGGTGGATTTGTTAAAGACTTGGGCAACGTTCTCTTCTGCGGGCTCCTGGCGCAGGGCGTGGCGTACCCGCTCGGACTGGCCGGTGCCGCCGCTCTCGCCATGGGAATACAGGCACGTTCCAGCCTGCCTTGCAAGTAGTGCTGAGATGCGCTTGTTGTTAAGGAGAAGTTCGTTTAAGTGTTTTTGTTTGTCCGAGCACGCTGATACTCCTTTCTGCTCAGACTGCTGTCTGTGTCCACGCCCACCGCGTGCGCCGATCTGAAGAACGGCCCCCGTCATGACGAAACGAAGCAGGTCCTCGCGTGGGTGCCGTCGGCGCTGGCGCAGAACGAGACCTTTTACGACTTCACAGGTAAGTTTTTACGGGAGTGTCCACGCCAGTAGGCTGCTTACTGCACAGCAGAGTTGGGAAGAAAACTCTGTCGAGAGAAAGAATCGAAACCACAACTTGCTACTTCCACGGCTACAACAGTGGTGGCCCCGGTATTAGTGCCAGTCGAATAGTGCCGGTGATATCGTCTGGCGAACGTGGAATGTCAAGTTGTTTTCATAATCTGAATATTGCGGTGTTGCCCGTTATTATGCCGTTGAAATCGGCTGGATCGCACCCGTCATACTGGGACCACCACTATGTAGCGCTTCTTGTTGTTGTTGTTGTAGCGCTTCTATAGCCCACTGAATAAATCGACCAGTCGGGGCGACCCGCAAAAAAGATATCTCGACACTCGGATTCGAACCAAGGACCAACAGATAACCACGGTCGTCCACTACAGTCTGTCGCTCTACCGGGCTGAGCTATGTCGAGGTGGTGAATTGAAGATTTTCTCGACACTTCTATTAGTCAATCCGGCACCGGCGTCATCCCCTCCCTCTTGGTTCCGATAGGCAAGCCACAATTACCTACCGCCTATTTATATCAGACTCTCTACTCTAGGCTTCGACCCATCCACCCATGTCTCGTGACAGGTCACTTCTGGTGTGTGCATGTGCGTGCTTGGCTTGATGTCTCGCTTTCATTGCTTGCTGATTGACGTGAAGAAATGTAGACTGACTTTTCATGATCGCCTGCATGCATCGCCGACATGCTTTAACTTTGGTGTGGCTTGTTCTTGGGTGTTTCCCTCAAAGAGTTGGGCTGCTTTAGATATTTCAAGCATTTCCAAGCACCTGTTGGCTAGTCTCCACTCGGCTTTTGTGGCGGTGCCGACGCTGTCCGTCTTGTCTGCCTGCCGCCATCATCCCACCTCCCTGTTTCAATCCGGCTTTATCCCTTGACCCAACGACCACCTCGGCGACAGGTATGCTGACCTTCATGGCGGTGACAACTTTCAGCACGTTGGGCTTCCTGCGGCGTTTTTTCGACGGGGAGATGGCCGCAATGTTCGGGGAAGGATCCCCGCTGGCGATGGGGCACCCGCTCTCGATCGCCGCTGCAGCCCCCAGGCACCTCGTCGCCACGGCTCTGGTCTTGACCTGGACCACAAGGTTAGTTAGCCTTGCGGCATCTCGCGTGCTTGCACTTGATGCAGCTGGCTGCCCCCAAGCTCGTGTCGCCCCAAAGCGGGCCTTTAGTTGCTCGAACGAGAGACTCGATGACTGTTTTGAGGGAAAAATAGGGCCCGCCTTCCCACCTCGTTTGCTGTTGCGACGCGCGGCGCCGACCTGATGGCGCCGACCTGATGGCGCCGACCTGGTGGCGCCGCCGCGACATTTAGCCCTTCTGATCCGCGTCCTCGACAACCAACGCTAGTGCTCGCTTGCCGTGGTAAAAACTTTTCCGGGATGCGGACGGACTTACTTGTTGGCTCGTGCCGGCTCTTCCTATTTTATTCCACGGTTTTCTGCGTGCCACTTCCCCAGGTGGTTTTGAGACGCGTTCATTCTCGGTGGAACACGTAGTGCGGCCAAGCCGCGAATACAGCGGATACCTTACAGGCTGGTTTATGTTCCTTTCGGCTTCTGTTTTAGCCGTTTGTGTGTCCCTTTGGGTAGCCTGGGAACCTTTCGAATACCCTGTCCTCGCGGGGTATTTTTATCGTTTTCCCCGAGAAGAGGCGTGTTTCTTGGAGTTCATCTTTCGTAGCGCCCAAGCGCTCTTTGTCGCGATACGCCAACCTTCTTTTTACTACAGCGCAAAAGGAGGCACTACGGTGCTCACCATCCACTGCCTCCTTTACGCATAGCACGAAGGGAGGCGTTGTTTTGTAACCGTCGAATACCTTCATCGCGTATAGCACGAATAAGCGTTTTTGCAACCGTTGTAACCGTTGTCGGCCTCCTTACGTTAAAGCACGCGTTTTTTGTGACCGTCGACTGCCTCCTTCAAGTGCAGAAAGAAAGAGGCGATTCGGTAACGTTCGACTCGTCGTGTTTCATGTTGCTCTTGTCCCGTTCGGGTGCTGTTCCCTGATCGCTCGGCCAGGCTTGGAACCTTTCTGTTTGCGAGGATACGGCGCGACGGCCACGACTCCAGGTTCAACGGGGTGCGGGACAGGCCTCTGAAGTTTCTCGTCTTCTGGTTTGTGCAGGCGAGTAACTCGAAACGACCAACAACGACGCCAGTCAAAGAGCACGGTGAGCAAGACCAGATACCACACCACACTGCGCAGAAGCATTGGCTGTTGGGAGAGTGGCCTGCTAAATAGCGTGTTTCGGTCCCGGCAGTGTGCGTGTGTTGTGGCCGTTGTGCTTGTTTATCAAGTCTTGGTTCAGTCCCTTTTTTTTTCTCGTTTGTCTTCCGTGTGTTGATTGTCAATGTCGACGCCGATTGTAGCGTAATTTCAGCAGGCGCCTCCTTTCTTTGCGCGTTGAAAGGCGTCGCCGTCGGTTGTTCTCGTGTCGGTGTCGGAGATGCGTCATGATTTTCCTGCCCGTTTGATGGACCGGAGACAAGTTGCAATACATACAGGTGATGCCGTCGGCAACGGTCACGTGGTCTGCGTTGTTTCGTCTACACTCGGTCGTAGATGAACCCCCCCCCCCGCGCGCCCATATAGCAAACCCCTGTTCTCTCTGGCTGAACCAGTGGGTGGGCTTTGGGTTTCCCTACCGGGGGGAGGGCTCGCCCAACAACGACACCTGTCATGTTAGGGCAACGACGTGTGCGTTCTTCCACATGCCCAAATTTCGAATTTTCTCCTCCTGGTTTCGTTGCACGAGGACGTGTTTTCGTCTCCGCCGCGCCTCCCCGGCTCAACCCGCCCTTCTCCACGCCGCTTTTTTTTTTATCGTAAACGACAGGGGATATGGGTATTTTTCACCGCTGTGCCGATGCTCGTGCTACACAAGGTCGACCCTAGAGGTACATAGGCGTTGAGAAGAAGAATAATCGACCGGACGCGCTCGGAATTCTCTGAGCAATGTTCTCGACGTGTGTCGAGAGTTTTAGTTTGAAGTGTCGCGCCGTTTTGGGTGCTTGTGGCCGAAGATATACCCGAATAAATGAAGAGTGTGAGCCGGTCGAACCACGACGTGTTGGATGCCTGTGGGCTTGTCCTGGTGATGTCTTCGGGAGTCTCTTGCCTAACCTTCACCTGTACGCATAAGCAAGGAAAGACGAGGTGTCTCGGCGTCGTCATCCGACTTGGATTCGTACACTTCTAGCAAAAGCAGCCGGAGGAAGAGGAGTCTCATGCCCGGATGCGATGCTGCTGACGACGGCAGGGCACGGTCGACACGGCAACGATATCAACAATGCCAGGGACGCTCGAGAAACTAACGGGGATGTCTGTTTGCCGAACAGGTAGCATGGGGAACATTCTCGCTCAAGACGCGTTCGGGCTGGCCGTGTGGGCGACCGGCTTTGCGCTAGAGGTGCGTACGCTGGATCGGGGAATATTCCGCCCGTGTCATCACTATTCCTTTATTTTTTCATGGGTATGCCTGGGCGTGGGTTGACTGCTGTGCCGCGTGCCATGCATGATTGCTTGCTTCACGGGATGGCTGAGTTTGCTGGTGCTTTGCGGGTGGTGGACCGGCGGTGGGTTGCTTGGTTGATCGGCCGAGAACGGTACGACAAGACCATGCAGTTGATCGATGACCTCGGTTGCTTGGGTCCGGGAGAATAGTCGCCGATCAGTGGTCACTTGACTCAGGCATGTGTCGCACAATCCAAAGGCTTGTTGCGCCTGTCCGCGTAAGAAGCGTTTCCGGGACCAACGCATCCAGAGATCAGACCGCAGCAGTCCAGTTGGACACACAACGCATCCTTGCGCATAATTTCTCTTTTTTTAATCCCGTTCTCGTGCCTGTGTGCGCGTGCGCGACGCCATGCTCCAGGTGGTCGCCGACGGCCAGAAGCGGGCCTTCAAAGCGGACGCCGCAAACGCCGGCAAGTTCATCGACGTCGGTCTTTGGTCCCGCTGCCGGCACCCCAACTACCTCGGGGAAATGGTGAGGGTGCTTGCTAACGCCCAACGAACGAGTGCTGTAGCAAGTTGTTTTTTTCTATGCAAGCGAACGGGAAACTATACGGAAGGAAGCCTTGGCGAGGATATTCAGCTTGATTTTGGTCGGGGGTACGGGGTGGGGTTGGGAGTTAACGTTAGGGATACAACCCCCCCTCTCTATTTTATACTAGATTATCAATAGTAGGAAAATCCTCGCGAAGGCCGTCGAAACTAAATGGTTTATTCCCCCCCCCCATCGACCAATCCGGCGGCGGCGGCGGCGGCGGTGTTGCCCCGGCAGACTCTTTGGGCGGGCTTCTTCATCTTCTGCAGCCGCGGAGTGGTCGCGGGCTCCGGGTGGCTTGCCCTCGTCGGCCCCCTGTTCGGGGTGAGCAAACTCCGTACCTAATCCATGAAGAAAAATGGTCATGTTGTTGCCCATGTTTTCGTGCAGGGAGTTCGTGCGTGTGACTTCCTTCGCAGCTGCTCCCGTACCCTGAGAGTTCGTTGGCTTGTCGGAAGCAACACGTTCAATAGCAAGATGGATTTCCTTTGTTCTGGAATAGCTTCGTTTGGTCGAGGGCCTTCGGGCCGCGGGGTGTGCACGTGTGCATGTACATCGCCAAAGCTGCCTGTCCACCCCCTCCCGTACGACCTCGGTCAAGCACCCTCGAGGAAAGGCGCAGTGCTACTAACTAACAAATGTCTCTGGAAGTGGAAGCGCGAGAAAGTATATCAAGTCATTCGTAGTTGTCATCCGTTTGCAAGGAAGTAAGCACAAGAATGCCGAATACCCTTAACAGGATGCAGCGCACCCTCCATGCGACTCTTCAAAATTCCTCAAGGCGCTTCGCGCTTGGTGATGTGAGAGCCTGGTCCGGTGATAACCCGGCGTGCTCCGTCCCGGGTTTGCAGGGATGCGAGGTCAATGGTTTACAGACTACGGCATGCACGGCTAGAGTACACACCCAAACCCGCACACACACGCGTCACCAATGCCGCCTGATAGGATTAGAGCCCCTTGTATTTCAGAAGCAGGACACTGCTGTCTTCCAACTCCTGCGCCCCCCCTGTCGGTAGAACCGTTACCCTTTGATTCGAGGTGTTGGTGTTTTTTTATCCCGCTACAAGACTGACGTGTTTTCATTGGTCAGCCGTTTAGCGTGGTCGATGCCAGCATAAAAAACACACACATCCATCTCGTGCATGACCTCTGCTCTTACATCACACCCCCTCGATCCTTGGTGCTGTCACTTGATCGTAATCCCAACAGACTGCAATTTTGACTTTCGTCAGCACGCCCATGCTAGAGCAAGGGGCGGACAAGAAGTACGGAGGCCACGCGGCGTACCACGAGTACAAGCGAACCACGCCGTCGCTGTTCTTCCGCCTGTGGTAGAATAGAAGACGGGGGCGTGTACATTGTGGAACCCCTCCCGCACCACCAACTTGATGTTGTTTGTTTTGAGATTTTTACTTAGAAAGCCGAAATCAAACCATATAGACTTGTCTCAGGGTTTGATTTCGGCTTCTAAAAACATTAGTAGTCGTGGAGTCCGAATGACCCGACACTTTCACTCCGATGTATCAAATCATCAGGCTAGTCAGCTCAGACTGGTCTACTTGTATATTGAGCTTGATGTCGGCTTCTAAAGGTTGCGCGATGGTGTGGAACGAAGCCGTACACACGTGGAGTTATGTTTGTACGTGGGTGGTGAGAGAGGGACGGTGACTAACACGGAGAGTCGCGCAGGGTTTTTTAAAGTGCACGGACAACCTCTCAGTCCGTGCTGTTCAGGCGTAATTGGTCTTCAGGCACAGTTGGTTGCGCGTTGGTTCTCCCTTGACTCGCCAGGTTTTCTCCATCTTTTGCACGAAGCAAGATGGGTGGACGACTCTGGCGGGGTCACTGCTGTGGTTTTGGGAAAGTGCGAGCCGAATTGCGGTCCACTGAGGGGGCGTTGCGACAAATGGGGATGGGGGTTCTTTACCCTTTGACACGGGATAAGCATGCGTTCTAAACTTGTGTGGGATTGGTTGGGATTCCCGTTTGAATGCGCCTGCAAGCCATCGTGCTTGTTGTCAGCCGGACGTCTGTCTACCCTAAGGTCTTGCCCCTCCCTGCCGTTGCTTCTCAGGTATGGCACTTTGACGATGCTTTGGGAAAAAAAACGGCTTGCTTCCCTCTCGTTGTGCGAGCTTATCATAGGCACACGCAGAGTAAACCCCAACCTGTGCACCGATGGAAGGGGTCGGTTGGAGGCAGGGCGGTCTCTGGCACACAGACGGCACGGTGTGACGTCGGTGTGTGTTTGAGCCGTGTTGTTGCGTGCGTGTGTATGCTCCCTGTCTGTCCAGAAACAGAACGTATGGTGATGGAGATCTTGAATTACTTCTTCACAGTACCTGGGACACGTCGTCATGAAGAAGCTACAATGTGTTCTCTCCTGACTCTTCGCGCCCTCGCCACAGGTGGCCAGTGGGCACGATTTCGGGGTTGTTTAAGTGACCTGTAACCCCTAGGCATTGTACAACCTGCGTAACCCGGTCCAGCGCGCCGTTGCCAACCTCCAAGGTCAGGCAGGGTTCGGAAACGCCGGCCCAAGCCCAGTTAAGGGACATTTGTATCTGTGCTTGGTTGCAGGCGAGGTTGTCCAAGCCCGAGAATGTCCATGCCTTGCCGCGAAAACTATGTACCAGCCGGTGTCCACAAGAGTACACCACACACCGATTTTTTGGACATTCGCGGCAATAAAAAAGAAAAGCTTCAAGAGTGCCGGCATTTGTAAGCCCGATTTTGTAGTTGACTACCGTTAGACGCACAAAAATAAAAACAGTACACCCCCCCCATCTCCGCACCAGTACTATTTTCAAAGGAACCTCCTCCTCGCCGCTGATCTGCAACTAACTGCCCACCGGTCACCCCGCGAGTAGCCCCTCACCCCTTCGTGAGTGCTTATTATCTTGCAGCTGTCCCGTTTCGGGGCCTCTGTTCTTACACCACAAAGTCAGGCGGGTTCGTTCTTGTTCGTAACACCACGTCGGGCCTGAGCACGCACGTGTTATTTTTATTATGTGGTCAATTTCTTTGATTTTGATTTTTTTTCGAGGCCGCATTTCTTAACTGCCAAGTTCTTGAGTGCGAGCGCCATCTTTATCGTCTGATCATGATGTAGTGCCGGAAGCAAGATAGACATGGGCCTACTCTATTTGATATATGTATATTGTTGCGTAGAAACACGCACGGCAACGATCGGGGGGCAAAGCAAATACTGAGAAAGAGCGAGAGAGAGAGAGAGAGTAGGCGATGATATACTATATATATACGCTGCCTCTCTCTGTAAAAGTCAATACGACAACACGTACGTACGTCCGTACGTATGTCTGTCTCCAAAAATATAAGTATAATAATAGTGGTCGAACATATAATATAGTATTATTACATAAATATCTCCAGACTACTGAAAAGAATTGCGCGCTCAGCATTGAATAATTCTATACTTCGTATTTATGTTGTTGCTGCTGTGGAGCATAAAAACTTAGATGACCAAAAACCTGCCATTGAACGATTGGTAATGGAAGACATCACTCGGAGTTTCTGCTTGTTTTGGCGTGCGGGGGACGGCAGAGTAAGTGGTGTGCTCTTATCATCGGCCGCGTGGGTGGTGTTGCCACAATTAATTGTTCCCCCCCACATCACTATAGATTCATGGAATTTGCGACGAAGACGTGACATGCTTCAACATATAGCGTAGCGGTGTACCGTTAAACTCTGCAGACTGTAACGCTTGGATCGCAGTCTGCTTGTGTGGAGGCAAGAAACACGCAGACACAGCGTTTCTTTGACGTGACGACGGCTTGTGTGTTTCATGTTTCATGGGCTGTAGACTAGCCAGTCAGTCTCCTTTGACGTCAATTCCGCGACGAGACAAAAACAAAGCATATACTCCAGTCTACATCCGCGGTAGCGTAGACTATGCTTAGAGCCGGCGCTGTGTGCATTGTGTGCATTTCTGCCCCCATCTATTCTGGCGCCAGTCCATAAGTTTGACGTGGAGACATGGAGTATCTCAGCCGGGCGGGAGGTGGCGTAACACCCCATTGGACATTGAACTCTGCCGTTCGCGCAAGGAAAATTCCGTTTTTTTTTTTTTCGTGTTTCGGGGGACAGACACTCTCTGCACTCTGCACACCAACGAATCAACGGTGATTTCCACACAGATTCTGTCTCCGGACCGAACACAAGGAGCTGCTCCTGGAAAAAAAGCATCGAAGACTACATACACGTCAGCTGGACTTCTCCGGTTCGCCCATTATTGCCTATTGTCGCGTGGTCATCATCATCACTAGACCGATATCGGACGGAAGCGAAACCTTACGTGTACATACGTTGTCCAGCAGTAGTACCATCGCGCGGAGAGAAAGGTGTGCCCTCTGGATGTCGCAGCGAAGATACTAGTGAGTGCAGACGTGCAGACAAAGGCCGTGGGTATAGGTGTTCACGCTCATGGTGCCTCTGCTGCCTTGTAGCCGTTGACGATCGACTACACCAGACTTGGCATCCCTGCAGTAAACGGCGCCACAACCTGCACGAGGCAATCTGAACGGCTATTTCATGCCTCCCGTGAAACGTTCTGCAGATCCCACTTCGGAAGTATGCTCTCCCCCTTACACGCGATACTGAAAGTGACAATATCAGGCGTTGGAATGAAACTGCGAGGGAGATCCGGCTTACACCAGGCACCGTGCACGCGTTACCGCAACACAAGCACACACGCCGCCGCCCATTGTACATTTTTGTTCCGTGTGCTTGTAGCGCGGGACTGCTAGGTTGAGGACGGGGGGCCGGCGAATGGAATTACGCAAGTTTGCACTTGCCACCTTGCTACCACATGCTCCAATAAATAATGTAGACAGCTTGGCAGCAGTTGAAGGGTATAGTACTGGTCTCATGCAGTGCTATGAACACACCTCGGCAACATCCTCAGTGTAAGGACTTTCACAGCAGTGCAGCCTTGATAAACTCCGGCATCCAACAGGTGGCACTCAAAATCTTCAACTAATTGTGGAGCATATTCGATGCAAGTCTACTTGCAACGTATCTTTATGGTGTGTACAGATTGTACCCTTTTCAGCTTGGAATTCTTCAAGGGAGGTGTTCTTCTCGCGTTGTTTTGCGTTATTTCCAATGGTTCAATGTCGACATGCTAGTACCCGCTTGTTCTCTGGCCATTGTTCACCTGCCAAGATATCGTCGCAATTGTTTTCACCTACATGTGAAGGAAAAACGAAGAACCGTTCGTCCTTGTAAATTTAGCCTCTATCCACCATCCTCTCTCCGTTACACTTGAAGGAAAATGAACAATTGTCCACGTTCACAAAATAACCCAGAACAGATCCAAGCCTAATAGATGTGAGTAAGACCTCCGCCGGCGAAAAAACGATACTCCGAAACAGGTACGAGAGAGACTACGCGCATCTACGGCGATACGATGAATTTGATCTTGATCCGCTGGTCAGAGCGGCTTGCAACAAGCAAGAGGACCACCGAACAAGTCGGGATAATACCTTGTTGCCTGTTTCCAACCCGCCCAACCTTTGCCGAAGGCCTTGCCTTCACGACGTGAGGGAGCCCGCTCGAGCTAGCTCGGCCATATGTGCATTATGCCAGATGAAAACCCGAAGGACTAGCTTCTCAAACGTAGCTTCTTCCGAGACCTCAGCACCCCCTACGCGTGCATGCGCACCATGCGCAACCCCTCCCTTTCCGGGCGCCAACCTATATGGCCGACGTGTTTTTCGTTCCTTGTGCTGATTCGTGTGCAACAGCGAGCAGGTATGAACGCCACGGCCGGCGACGGCCTTGAAGCGGGCAGCTTGCCACCTTTTCACACGGAGGGAGAACCCGACCACCACCACCGCTATCCCGGCTCAGAAGCAATGAGGACAATGACAGTCAACAAGATTTCCACCTTGCAGGCGCTTACGATCTCTGGTCTGGAGCTCGCGCTCACCTTGGGCAACGCCCTGAAAAAGGAAGCGTTTCAATTCAGCTCCGGCTCGGACCTGATATTCGGCGGCTCTGCCCTGATGGAGGCCGTTGGGTTCCTGTTCGCGATCTGGATGGCGCTCATCGCTTTGTTTCGCCCGCCGTCAGCCGATGATGCCGTGGGATCTGGGGTGAGGGCGCGCGATGTTACACATGGACGGACGTCGTTTTTTTTGCTCGAACAAGGAATGGCTTGTTTCTTCCTCGTCTCATCTGTGGCACTGACTGCTGTCGCTCGCGTCACCTATATAGCTCCACTCTTTTGCGTAGAGCTCCGTTCCGAGGGTCGCGCAGAAAAGGGGTCGGTTCCTCTCCACCCCAAGCAATTCCTCCTTTCTGGTGGTTCTTGTCCATTGCGGCTCCTCCATCCTCGTCCGCGCACATGAGCAACAAACAAGAAGCACGATACCTCAAACGGATTTTTCACCCTCGACACCACGCGAGGTCAATAACCCATGCCCCGCCCTTTCTCTCTCCGGGAGTACAATTGTAGTCCTCCTCCACCGCGACGAACAGCCCGTTCCATCCCTCTCCCCC